TCGTCTGACAAGTATTCCTAGAATTCTGTCACGCCTCTAGGGAAATGTTGGTACACTGTAAAAAAAGTTTAGCATTTGGGGTACTAACGGCTGCTATTCGTAGCACCTTTTAGCGTCAAAAGAACCCTACGACGTATTTACAAAGAAGCATGGTGCTAATACTGTGCTAATGATAGCTAACATTCCCATCAAATGTTATAAGTTTAGATCACCTATTCTTCTACTGAGCTTAACGTCTACTTCTGCTAGTACCCAGTCCATCAGTGAGTGCTCTTTCAAGCTGGATTTCTAATTAGAACCATTTTAAGTGTTTTAGAAGTTGGTAACGCTGAATATGGTGCTTACGTTAGTATCACAATAGAACCGGACATGCTTACAGAGGAAACAAATTTGAAATTGGCGCCAAAGAAAGTAGCTAAGCCCTGCTTTACAAATCTCTGGGAGTCTTATCACCAGCCCTTTAGCACGTTTTGACGGCGCAGAGCGATATGCGCATGCGCGTGCCAGCTGTTTCCGGCCACGTGTTGCGCCATTTTAGTGGAGTCCGTTGGTCGTGGTGGGAGTGTGTGCACGTGCTCCGGTATATGAAGTGAAATAAAGTGAAGTGAAGTGCTCCGGGCACATGCCACCGAGTGATAGCTCTGGAATGATAGCTTAAATCAGCTATTATCGGTGGAATCCGTCGTGCGTGGCATGGGAGTGCGTGCCCCTGCTCCGGGAGGCAGTGAGGTGGAGGGAAGTGCAGTGCAGCAGTGCAGTGAAGTGAAGTGAAGTGCTCCGGGGCCGGGTGGTACATGAGCATTTGCCACCGACACATGCCACCGACACCGACGTTGATCGATTTTGGTGAGTCTGACACGTTGTATCTTTTGACATTATCTTATATTGTTTAAGTGCTTCATATTCCGACTTTGGCAAATCGCGCTTCTTGGTCTGAAGGAAAGTTGTGTTGTTTGCGAAAATAGCTCCCAACAGAAAAAAAAAATCTTGGAACTGATCCAGTTTTTTTTTGCTCCAGGCATGGGGCCTGGTCAGTTCTTCCGTCGACTACCACTTACAATGGAGGACAACCGACAACAACACGGGGTCTCCGGTTCCGTCTATCACTAAACGCCGTCTGGTCGTGGATGAGGTCGAACTTATGGCCATGAACGGAACGTCGGTTCAACGACCCCCCCCCCGCCTCCCCCAGTCGATCTCGCGTTAATCGTCGGTCACTGCGAGTGTGCAGGTATATGAGCGACCTTTCGTTATTTCCCGTGCGTTTGTTTGTGTATATATTTACATTTGTTTTTCATGCAGATGATATGAAGTGTTAATAAATGTTCCATCATTATTTTTTAATTTTATAATGTGTTGGATGCTTGAAAGATGCACTTACACGGGAATATTGCAGAATGCAAAAACACAATCATTGAGACTTGTAGTTATCACTTATCTAGGATATAACCTTTTTTGCACGTCTTTTCAGCCTTACACAATTTCCTTTTTGATAATTGATTAGTCCTTTTTGCAGTAACTAGTGAAAGTATGTGCTGCTAAAGAAAGCAGTTTTTGCGAACTTTTCATGCAGCAGCTTTAACTAGCATAGATATTCTACTTTCAGCCCCAATGCTTTCGTTAGCATTATTCCACTTGTCGTGGGGTAACAATAGCGCTAAAACGGTTCATATGTGAGTACGGAAGGTACTAACTGCATGCTATTCTTAGCACCTTTTAAAGTTTAGCACCGCTAGGGTACTGAAAATTGGTCTAGCAGGTGTAGGGTACTACATTTAGTACACGGGTGCTAAACAAACATGGGTACTTATATTAGCACCTTGATACTAAACTAGATCTCAGTTAAGTACGAATAAAATGCTTAGCTTAGCACCGCTAGGGTACTGAAAATTAGTCAATTGAAAAGTACCTCTATGGTGCTAAACTTTTTTTACAGTGTAATTTTCTCCCCAGGTTTCTCTGGGGATCGTGCATCTTACATAAGATTGGCGGGACACGTGGAGACGATGCTACGTGTTATCCTGACTTTGTGAGCCGGGAAAGGTCAGAAATCTCACAGGCTCATTGCGAAAGAAGCGCTGCTGTTGGAATATTGGACCAGATAAGAGATGTCAATCGGATACCAACGTTTTGGTATACCGATACCAAACCGATACCAACTCGGTATTTGGTATTTAAATCCTAATGTGTTTGGTATTTTGTTGGTATCATGAACCCTCCCTAACGTTTAAGAGGCTAAGAAATCGGTAAAAAGTTGGTATTTTACTCATGTTCCCAAGTTGGTTTGGTTTCGGTATTTCTCCACGGTTTTGGTTGGTATTTGCTTTGGTATCGCTATTCCGATTTTCCGTAATTGACATCACTAGACCAGATGTCCAGCCTCTCGGACTTGGAATCTAAGCTGCTAAGCTTTTCAATAAATCTAGCAACCTTTTGCTTACTAGATTGGGTCAGGAATATTTGGAGGCTTTTTGAAAGATGTAATTTTATTCAGATATGATAGAGCTGCAGTCCTTTATTTACCAATCGTGACTATAAATGTTGTATTGTTTCGCCTGTCGCCAACATATTATGCTAATATTGGCAATAAAAGTACCCAACTCTCTTTCTCTTTCCCACATTTACGTTTTATTTTTATCGTGTACTTACCTATGCGTTTTTTCTTCTTCTTTTTTCATAAATGTGAAGAAATTCCCTCATTCATAAGTCAGTCACTTTTGACATGCATTTCATAGATGTAACAGTTAACCCACGATAAATTATATGCAGCTATCAAAGCACTGGTTTTGTGTAAAACACCGTTTCAGTTCCGAATGAAATAGTGAACAGCCTTGCAACTCCTACCCACGGATTCATCTGCCTCTTTTCACCACACCTCCCATTCACCTTTCAAATCCATCAAAGCATACCATTTTCATGTCAAGGCAACTCACAACAACAGCACATCAGCTGCGCAGGATACTGTTTTCTGATTTCTGGCCACCAAAACACCGCAGCATCGAAGCTCCTGCGAGCGGTGAATCGTTGAAGCAGTCACGCTAGTCTACTGCCCGTGGAAGCTAATAAAAATGACGATCAATGATTGCAGTGAATTAGGTGCGACCTGTTGTGATGCCCCGCGCTGCATATCAGATATCGCTTTGTTGCTGGTTGCTGGGTTGGACAGCAGGTCATGGGGGTTTATAGTGTGAAACGGTTCAGAGGGGAGGCATCCTGTTTGGTAGGCGCTGTATGTATGCACTATGCGTGTCAGGCAGTCCTAAATAACGGCGTCCAAACAGCAACAGTTGTAACGCCTTTATACGTATAAGGCATGTGTGAGTCTCGTACTGAGTCACTGACATTACAATGATTGTTCTAAACCTCGATTCAAGCTTGCTATAGCGATACTATTGAAGAAGTCAAATCTTGATTGAATTTTGTGTAGGTAGTGTGCAGAAAAAAAATAGTTCGAATATCATACATGCAGCGTGCAAAGCTGGTCAATACAATCCGTCCTAGCCACTGGACGGATAATCTTCAGGCGTCGTAAGGACTGTGTCATTAATGTGCTCAATGTCATAGTCGGTGTACTTAATTAACACCCAATTACGTCACAATGGTATCCACCAATCACCTGGCGAGCTGGCGCAAGGTACTCGTGTGGCTGAGTGTCGGAATGAAATGAGCTAGCGCTAGGAAACATGGCTACTAAATTAGAACAGGGGCACTACGCGTTGTAGCATTCCACTCACAATTAGTCGTGCAGTTCTCATTTGCAAAGATATACGGGTGGGTCTGCTAAGAGATTGACTCGGTTGTAGCCGACTGTCTGTAGTAGCGTAGTCGAGAGACAAATTAGATGAGTAAATGAGATGCGTACTGAGTATGCGTGTCTTCAAATGTAGTGGAGACGTATTTGAGCTAAAGGCCTGCACAAATGAAAATCAAAGGGCTTATCAGCATGCTGGAAACTATATCCGATGTAAAACGGCCATAAAAGCACCGGTCATACACTTTTTTTCAAGCACATGGATGCTGCAATGGCCGAATTACCATTTCCTAAAAACTGACAATTTTTTTAAAGACATAACCGGACATGTTGTTTGGATCATAGTGATGATCCAATGGGCGCTGTGCTCAATAGTGCAAGTGCCAAATTTTAATCTGAATCCCAAGCCATAGTCATGTCCCTCTACATTATATAGAGTTCTACAACGCCATAATGGTGCAAATATGTTCGGATTTTGTCACACCACAAAACTCATATCACTGGTAATGTCGGACCACCACCGCGACTTGCAACCAGTGTGGACGTTGGGTGGTGTCGTGAGTTGGTGGTGGGACAATAAATATCCCACCATCCCTTCCACTCTAAAATACTAAACACGAGCGCACACTGAAACCCCATCAACACCTTCACCACCTCCGTCTTGGACAACACCGCAGAACTCGAAAACAACAGCGGTGGTGAAAAACAGCGCCGCTTCTCCTCACACTAACGCAACTTCCACCTGTTCACCGGAGAGAGCAAAACACCAACACTAGCACCACTATGAAACCACCGGAACCAGTAACAGGCACCCCACACCAGCACAAACAGAAGCACCAACTACAAAACCTACAACACCAGGCCCTGATTTCAGCGTCGGTGCATTCCATGATTTCCAGCCCACGCCGACTCCACTAATTTCAGTCGCTACGGCGGCCATGCTTTGGCTTTTTTGGGAAATGAAGCGGTAAGATTTTATTGCTCTACTAAGGCGTATCCGAGGTCATGAGATAAACCACATGGGAAGACATTGGGTGTATAGATGGCCATGAATTAGTGCCCCGCGCCGGGGACTGAGGTTGGGCAGCTCTTCTGAGGCAGGCCTGGGGCCACTGAGCTAACCGTCACATCCCGTGAACTACTTCAGAAGGGGAAACTTCTCTACGTTTATCCCATTTACGAGTGACTCGACAGCCCATACAAGAAGGAGGGGGTCAGGAGAGGGGGACGGTACCGGCCGGTTTCTTACCTTCTCGAGTGCCAATGACCTCGGCTTGGAGACGCCATCGGAGCGCGCCTCCATTGCACCTCTCACCGCATGCCCACAGTCGCTTTAAGCGCCCGCGGGGACGCTCCGAACCCACGACTGTGTACATGATGGGCGCCTACGCGAGGGGCACATAGCTCGGCCCGCCGCGGCGCCCCGCGCACGGCCGCTGCTCTTCACCGCCGCCGCCGCCGCGAGCCCAGCCACCGGGCGACTGCAGAGACGCCTGGCGGCGGACGGAGCAACTACTCGGTCGATAGCGCCTCCCGTCTGCAGCGACGACCGCGCAGAGGCGGCGCCAGCGGAGTGAAAATGGGATGAACGAGATTGAGAGTAGCAACTAGTCAGCGTGATACTCATGAATTCTTTATAGAAAAAAAGCGTCAGAGATTTGAAGTTTTGCGAGTTTATAGTCGCCACTCCGTTGCACTCCTGGTAAGCGTCGCTGACTCTGCCCCTGGCGAGCACTGCCTCTGGGCTCGTTGCCGGGCCAATATTGAAAGTCGGCCGGCGCTGGCGGGCGACGCGCGGCCGCGGCGTCAGATCAGAGAGAGCCGCCTCTGTCGAGTGGCCGCCGTCACCGCATCTCATGGCCGGAGTCCATCTGGGTTCCTCCCCCTTTCCGCCCCCCCCCTTCCCCGGCCCTCCTTCCGGTGCCTCTTCCATCCCCGTTGCGGTCGTCCCATCTGCCCGCCATATCCGCCTACCCATGGCTGGCGGAGTGGGGCGTTTGACGCATCCAGTCTGCCTCGGAGAAGCATCAGCATAAAGGGTGGCGGTAAACGCTTTTTGCCAAACGATGCGAAAGACATTTCAGGTGATAGCGAAAATGAAAACCGCCAGGAAAATAGGTGATGTCGAAACTGTGCAGTGACAGAGACGGAGCCTGCTGGATAATTTGTCACAGGAGGAGGTGTTGGGTCGAAATTGCCAGGTCAGGGGCGTCTTGACAAGGGTGTCAGGCCGGAGATGTCATTTCGGTGGCAGTGGTGCCAGTCACCGATGCCAGGTATTGGGTTTTGGGCCGAATGTATAATTTCGCTAGTGTCACGTCGGTTTCGTCAGGTCCGTGGCATCCGTTGTGGCATACACAGGATGTCATGTCGAGACAGGTATGTCAAGAATGTCAGGTCGGCATTGGTGGTGTCATTTTACCAGTGTCAGGTCGTCTGCAGCGGTGTCAGGCTGGTGGTGTCATGTCATTTCGTCACTGTCACCTCACCACTGTCAGTACAAGCCTGCGTCGGTGTCAGGTCGTGGCCGCGGAGCAGCGCTGTTCCAGTGAGGCGAATCCAATCGATGCGGTGTCAGCGCGTCGGACGATGGTACTGCGGCCGGGAGCGGCGATCCCCCGTTATAGACAGCTGGTGGTAGCGATATTTGATGGCCGGTCATAGCGGGAACATGTGGTGGGAATGGCGCCGGGAAAATGGCGCTCTTGGTGTGATTGTGGTGACTTCGAAAGGGCAGACGGGCTGATGTGTTCACTGGGAGCTATAGCTGTATTTTAGGGACTTCGACTACTGGGCAGATCGTAGCAATATACAATAAATCCAAAATGTAAAACAATGTAACTAAGACCAAAGTGAATTGAAATCGTGAAACTTTAGAGGTTATCAGCGTTCTATAACCAGCACCAAGTTTATCTGATGGTTCAAGCTAGAAATATGCAACACTTGAGATAGGCTTTAGCAATTTTATTTACTGTTTGAATGCGTGATTTTATATGGATTGCAATGGATTGCAACTTCCATTAACGTGACAGCAGATTGAATGCGACAAAGAGAAGAAAACATGCGAGAGTGTGAGGCAACCAAAGTAGGAAACTGTAATGCGATTCAGAACAAGTGAAGTGAAGCCAAAAGTTCCTTCATCATTTATGTCATTTCCCTCCTCTTAGGCCCTTATCACGGGTTGTCTTGCCTTGCCATCAATTAGATGCATAAGCCATACGAATAAACATTCAACAAGACATCGCTCCTTCCAATTGTTATATAAAAGCCTCTTAGCAGGCAGCAGAGCAGTATATGTTTTCGAACGGGACATTGATTTGCTATCCAGATCCACTATCTAACGACTAAGCCATCACATTCTAATGGCCACGATCGTG